ATAGGAGTGATAAAATATTTTCCAAACTTAATGTTTATGAAAATATTAGTAAAACTATGTATCTAAATGTAAATTTCTATTGTTAAAAGAAAAAACGAAAAACAACCACTGACCTTCCATGAAATAAGAATTTATGAATATGCTCGGATAATATTTGAAATTTGCATTTTTGCAATAAATTTCTAGGTCAATATTTGAAATGCACTTGACTTTCACTAGGGTCGTTTCAAATTACGTTTTCCTACATACTCTTCTTTAAACTATTCGTTTATCGTTCATAAATACAATCTAAACGAGACAACTGTTACAGAAAATAGAATAGCAGGTTCGCTTAAAAAACCCTGTTGTTCTGAATTGTTACCAACGTCGCTATTGAGATTCATTAACGCTGCTTTAAGGTGAAATGTCACGGCGGCCGGTAATCGACATTAATTCGATGGTGATTGTACTATTAACTAGAATAATTGACGCACTAATCTCAGATCACGCGGAACTTGATCTCGGATGAAGTTCTTACACAATGACAAGCTAACGAAAATTGTGAGTCTCCTGGAATAGATGTTGACGCAAGCAACGAACGAAATATTGTTCCGTGGATGTCCGATCGATCGATCCCACGCGACACCTTGCGGAAGAGAATAAATAACGGTGGCTTAATGGACACGGAACGCAAGAAAATTCTGACACTAGTTACATAAAAATTATCATATCACTCATTGCACTCGTCGTTGAACAAAACAATCTTCTGTTTCATCAGATTCTTTAATTTAATAAGGAGAAAATAATATTCTTCTTACATTTCACTGTGACAAAAATCAAATATTAACGTTATAACTACTATATCGGTCGAAATGACCCATTTCAGAATTCTTTCTTTAAAAGGATCAGAAAAATGCAAATGATTTACTGAGAAATTATTAAATGAATTGTTTCGAAATTGTAGTAAACGGACTCTTATAGTTTGTATAAGAAAATTATAAACAGTAACAACTAGTAGTAACTAGTACTAATAGGAACTACTTGGTAATTATAGTGTTAAAAGATAGGAGACGTTATAGTATTTTGATAGAAAATGTGACCATCAAAGTATTAACTTTGCATACATAAAATTAATTCAATTCTACATCCCTGTTTCCAGGAATTTTCCTTGTGTTACGATTTAAGTTTTTCCTGTTTGAAGACTTCACGGAAATTGATGTTCATCCACCACTAAAAACGTTCGACTTCGCTGCTGCAGATCCTCCGACCCGATAAAATTCGACGAAGTATCTCTCGTCTATCTCGAGCATAAAAAGTTTAACTGTATAAAGAGGAAAATGTAAGGTTGGCGCGCAAAATAGGAAGCCGGGTCATCGTCAGATGACCGTGAACGATAAATACTTCTACACTTTTGTGATAAAATGCTGCGCTGTTCAGCGAAAACGTTTTCACTGATTCCCGCCATTGAGTTCTCTTCGACGGTTCATAAAAAAAGGGAGGAAATGTTTAGCCTAGTCTGTTAGCGGTACTCAATCATAGTTTTCTAAGGAATCATATGTTTGATTTAACGACTGCCACATCATTCGAGGTTCCCCGTCTCACAAATCTCGATCGCATCAATTCGCAGAATCAGACTTTATGCTAATATTCATTCGAGTTTAATGAATGACTAATAATAATGAATAACAAATGGAATGAGTACATGGGAATTACTTCTTTACGATTGAATAATTAACTGAATTAAACGGTTGCTTGAATATGTGTTTTTCATTTGAAATGATACCGTTTCATACTGTACAATTAGCACAGTAAGGAATTGGTGCTCGTTCGCTCGTTTGTAATATACACTGATGTTTCGTTGGCTAAATGTCCCGATAATTCGGCCCAGGGTTCCCCATAAAAATAGAATATCGAGGTTCATGTCTGTACGACATTGGCCCAAATACTTTCTTCAAAATGCACGCGAATATAAATAACTAAGATTCTAAGTGATACGCTGGAAATCGCCTTACGCTTGTTTCCTTACGCTCGTTTCCTTACGCTCGTAATTGCTTTGAGTACGAATTGAGCACTTTGATGACTCCTTTGCTGCGCGCTCGTACCCATTCTGACGCAGACTGTTGCATTACTTAATATCGTCTATTTCCAAGCGCGATTTCGACCTCCCGATTTTCCTGTCCCGTTTAATCTAGCATAGATCTGTGCACCGTTTGCGATACACATCCAAATATAAACAACGATATTCCTTGAGGGTAAAATATACCAAATTTCTGGTAACCCTCTCAGACTTTTTCACTTTTCAAACAGACAAAAAACGCACAGTATATCTTGTTACGTTGGAGAAAGTTTTCCAAGAAACTACATATAGTCAATAATGAAACTATTTGAACAGTATCGTAAGAAATAAATGACCATTACAAAAATTGTACATCATATACAGCTGTTTATTTAAACAAGTTGCATTCATATACATGCAATAGAATTGAACAAATACTTAACAATACGTAAATTGTGGAACATTTCTTGTATCTAAGCATCCGTAACGTTTGAATACTTCTATCGCTATCTGTAAACCTCAAAAAAAGAAGGAACACTCGATGTTACAATGATTTTTAAGCTAAAAAATGTTATATCTTCCAAATAAATGAAGAAGAAAGCACACGAAACCCCCTCCCCTCGCAATAATCCTCGTCGCGACGTGTGTCGTGCGTAATCCGTGATTCACAAACATTTTAATATACAAAACATTTCAGGTTGGATTGAAAAGAGCGGGAACCTCTTGAAAGAGGAAAAGAACTGCGAGCGTGGGATGGAACGGAAGGTGGCTGAGCGAGAGAGGCACGCGTATGGAAATAAGAGAGAGCAGGAGGAATAACAACCGATAGAGAGGGAGAGAAAGAGAAAGAGAGTGAGAGTGGAAAAGAGACAGCGCATTGTACGCGTTCGCATTCAGTCTGCCCGCGGCGTTCGAGCTAGTCGTGTATTCAGTTTCTTCTTCGCGGAAGTTTCTTTTTCTTATTTTCCTTTTCCCTCTCAGTTTCTGGCTAAACTTTTCGCCAGTCAGCAAACGAACGAAACAGAATACTCGCGAAACGCGGGGTAGATCGCGACGGTTTCCTAATCGTCATTAACGATGTGCTTGTTTACCTTGTAAGCGCTGCAGCGCCAGCTCCTTCGCGCATCCCCTATGGTTGTAGGTAAGGGCACATCATTTTTCAATAACAATCCGCCGATGAAACCGTCCCCGGGTTTCTCCGGGGAGACGGTAGTGAGTCAGAATTCTAGAAACGCGGGATTCCCAGGATACACCAGTGCGATCGGTGAAAGTTGACCGATACAGTTTTCCGTTGGTCCCGCGGCGGGATCCGCGGTGCCTGATCGAATCTATTCGGTGTTCGTTTACAGTAGAACTACCGAGCATTTATTGGGGCTGATATGTAATCCTTATAAAGATTGTAATAATGCAGTTTTTTCGATTTCTTTAGATATTTGTTGTAGTATTTAACACGTTCGCTGCGTCACATATTTGTATCGTGATTTATCGTAGATCGTAATCCTATCTTTTAAATAATGAAAATGAAATGAATCCTATAGATATTGTTATTAAAAATTATGAATTACGACATTATATTTAGGAACTCAATGACTCATTTCAGTTTCATTTTTCTAATATTTTATTTAGAAGATTTATGGGTTGAAGAAAATATTATAATTGAGGAGAGCGTCAGCGAAATAAACGCTGGTAGCGAACGTGTTAAGTGAAATTATTTATCTTTAAAATGATTTCGGATAGTTGGCACTTTTAAGATGTCAATAATTGTAATATAAGAAAACTAAAAGCTATTATTTTGAGGTACGGTAGTTTTAGTATTAACGCGTTGACTATTACGACGATTATCAGAGGTTTATTGAAAAATAAATTGATTATAGAATTTGTATGAATGGATGATAAAAGATTATAAAAGATTATGAAAGATAAAATGATTATAAAATTTATGTAATTGGAAAATTGAATCTGAATTAAACGAGCGGTTTATACGTTACAAAGATAAATGACATTATAAAGAATTATTCGCGATTTGATATCACAGTTATTACGTTACACTGTTGTCCAGTTACTTACGTTGCTAAATATTTATATTCGATGTTAATAATCATATTGTAATTGTTTTTGACCGATTTGGAAACTCCGGTCATCGCTGATCATGATGGCAATCAACGAATTAATACTTAACGCGTTTATTACCAACGTCATATATTAGTGACGGCATAATCCAGTACTTTATGCGAAAAAAATGGAATTAATCCCATATATATGGCCAATTAAAGTTATAAGGTATGAAATTACATTTAGGAAATCAATTCTTTTTAATTTCATTTATTCGATAATTTATTTAGAACATTTATTGAATGTAGTAAACTATAGCAACTGAAAAGTTGTCGAAAGAGATAGTGCATTATTTCTGACGAATTTTCTTTGAAGCCTATAATTTTGTTGCCTGACAATGGAGAGTGAATAATGGTAGCAAAAGATTCTTGAGATTAATGTATCTATAATTACCATCGGCAACGTCTTTGATAAATATGTCTGGTAATTTTCCTGGAGTATTTTACTATAGTTAGTAACGGATACCTGGTGAACGAAAATAAAATCTTGTGACCTTTCACGCGTTAATAAGGAAAAATGCTCCCAATGGAGTTTATTATTATTATGACCTTAACCTCTTCTTATTGTGTTGAAATAGATTGGAGTGATCTACGCTCTTATCTATTTTACTTTGTGGGGTAGTGAAAATAAATTGTTACCTTTTCATAATAATCAGTAAAGGATTTATTTGCGAAATAACATTATCCATCGATTTCCGTCTCGTGACCTTTGTCCACTATTCTTTTCTTAGTAAATTATTTCATTTATTAACAAAATATATTTTACACCATCAATATAATATAAATATATTAAAATTAATATAAACATATTTTATACAATCCTCCGCACTAATTTTAGACTACTTTTGTACAGTCTTTGGAAAATATAACGAAACTGAGTAACAAGCACGTGAGATAACTACCAATCAAAAATATTTCTTCAATTGTTTAAAGAATAATCTGTATTTTTCTAGTGAAAAAGACATAAATAGACGCTTGAGTTTTATGCTGGTATGTCTCTCTTTAAAGGTGTGTAAAAGTGGCCGTGAATTCTTAGAAAAATTTAATATCGTTGTACTTGTCCGGATTCCTTGTTTCGGTCAAGTACACGCAACGTGTTCTAACCATCATCATCCGTTCTGTTTGCAGTCTGCCATTAAATGGCAGAGGTGCATTAGAATCATTTTGATGCATGAACCAATCTTTATTGCATCGCGTGTACAATTACAGGTACTCTATTATATGTCCACGGTAATCTGCAATTGATTGTACAGTCAAGAAAACAGTAATTCTACGTGAAAAAATAAGTAAAAAATAGAAAATAACAGATTTTCATTTGAAAGCTCGTTTCCCAGAAAATCAGATTTAAAACTTCGCAGGATATACTTACGTTTGTTTAAAAATTACTTTTTGCTGCTAAAGTAATTCTTCTCTTTTTTTTGTAAATAATAACGTAGGTTGTTGAACAATAATCGTTACTATTAGTAAATAAGCTCAAATATAGTACATAAATATACTAATAACAATTATTCCTCCTTATGCCTTAATATTTATAGTCAAATAAACCTTTGCAACGCAATCGACAATAATCGGATTTTACGAACGCTTAAATTCGAATCGTAATTGGATTTTGGAATATCTCCACACTGTTAATGAACAAACACATAATAATTGCAATTTATCACAATTGTTTGTATCTCTGGATAATTTGTACTGTATATTATAAACTGGAAACAATATTTTCGTTAATCAATTAATATTTCTGACAGCTCAATTAATTCGTTTATTATACTCAATTTATCGGTTTATCGAATACCATTTAATTTATAGTTCATAATAAACGGCATCATTATCCACGCAATTAACATTTCCGTCACTGGTTCTAATGACAACTTGATTCATTCTACTGTATCATATTTATATACTTGACTGATCGTTAATTGCACGCTATCTAAAAGGAAGATAGGCAAGTTTGCATATTAGCGATGTGGTTTTAGAAAATGAATTCTTCAAACAAAGTGTTGAGGAAATGAAATATAAAATTTCCTGTACATGTTTCTCATTTTCTATATTTTTCAAATTCGCGAAATTCAGTACTGTAAGAACTATAGAATGCATTCAATTTATGCGAAGAAGAATAAAATAGAAATTTATTTTCTAGATTTCTTAAAACTCGCAGGAAAAAAAGAAAATGCAAAAAATGAATTAAAAAATTTGATTATTGATTCTAATTGAATTGATTTCTTAAGCCTTCTGTGGCTACCATTGTAAACAATGAAAATTATTTAGTTTCACAGCATGAAGATTTTTTCGTTCATTCTAACGTTCGTGTAAGTAGTCCGCACGCTATGCCTCAGTCATTAACTACGGAACGCAAATTAACTCGTCATTTCTGTTCCACGTAAACTACACCACGCAAAGTTGTCATTGTTATCGTTTACGATATACTATTCTAACAAATTATTTTCCCGAAACATTACAAAATGAAGAATAAAATAAGATCATTAATTCTCTTTCCCTCATTCCTAGTTCAGTCATATATTGCACGCTTGCACAACTTACAAATATGCAGAATCAATAGCAAACGCAAATGCAAGTGTAATAAGTGTACTTAGCTTAGCTAAGCATCGTAACTTTGCAGAAAAAAATCCCCCAAGAAAACTGTTCTAAATTTATCACAGAATTTCAATCAAATGTTAGAATTACATTCTTCACAATCTTCTGTTATAAAGAATGAATTGATTCCGTTCCGTCGTTTAATGGTTAATTACATAAAAAACGATGCAATTACTAAGAACTTATCATGTCTCAATTGAAACTATCAATTAATCTCATTCGGCGTTGTTCGCGTCTCTAATCTGCCAGAAGGATATGCGTTGGATATAATAATCAATTAATTCGTACTGGTTCACCGGGGGCAGCTGAAGATTTTTATGTCTTAATGAATTAACGCGACGATCAAGAAACACATGTGCGGGCTGTTTTAATGTGCCGTGAACGTTTACGATTCGTGGCAAGGACAAGCCAATTTATTGCTTCAATGATATGATCGTAGCGCTAAATTGAGTACATTGGCAGCTCTAATTAATCGGTCAGTGTAATGTATGCGGATTGTTTATGCGTACGAAGAAAACGCGGCTGGAAACGAGCGCGCGATTCGGTTAATTAAAATGGTTTCGTTGATTTGACGGCGTGTCACAAACATTATCGTCCACGTCCCGAGTTATCGTCGAGTACCCTGCACTGTTACATAATAATCTGTTTCACGTTAAACCAACCGCGTCGAACGCTCATGGATGGTTCGTCGTGAACTTGCATATGAAGAACGCGGTTCGTGCGTCCGATTCATCATTGACTCGTTCTGTCCATAGACTCAAGACACTCGCGAACTAAAAGAATGATTTCCTAATTAGACGATAGCTACCAGAATTTTGCTTATGTTTTTAGTTTAAAATTGTATTATTCAGCTTTCTCAATAAACGAATTAATATGAAATATAATTAAAGGTATAGAAAAAAATGGCAATTAATAGTTGATTTCCGGACGTTATTTGTACGGTTTACTCTATTGATCTCAGAAAAATTAATGTTCGTTCGTTTAGATCTTGGAAATTAGGGATTGAAAAATAGACAATAAACAGAAAAACAGAAATAAACGTTTGCCAAGTAATATTTATAAAATTCAAGATCCGTCAAATTGAAGCGTTCTTGAAGTTTTTGATTTGAAAGATTATCACAATGCGTCGCGCGTTTCGATCACAACGTTAGAAATGTCTAAATACATTTAAATATTTTATCATTTGTATAGATGAAAATTAGCAAATCCAAGGAAGTATTGTAGCAAGCTATAATCACGAATTAAGCTGTGGACTATCAAATGGACGGGTCCACTGTGCGAACGGCGGACTGTCAACTGCTCCAGTCATCGAACCATCAGTCTAACGAGCACCAACATTTGAAATTGAACAACAATTCTGCGAACAACGAAGCCAGTTTGCTGAATGTCCCGAAACGGAAGCTCTCAGTATTCTATCGATCATTCGACGTAATCGAAGCGAAGGATCAGGAAAACACGCTCGAATTCCGTCGAGCGTCGAGCAGTCCTTCAGTGCGTCTTGAAGTTCAAGATGAAGGACCGAAGAAAAAAGAAAATCATCAAGAAACGAGTCTTTGCAAGACAGGTTTCGTCAATTGCCGATCGTTAATCGAGACCAGTAAATTCCTCAGCTGTTCGTCGCCCGGTTGTTTCCGCGAAGTTTCCTCGAGTGATCCGCAACGTTCACCGACAAAGAAATCACCCGTGATGGCGCAGAAGCTGCCGCAACTCAAAGAGAGCGTCGTCGATAATCACACGATCGTTGCCGAGATTTCAAGTGCAAAACATGTTGAATTGAAGGACAACGAAAATAATGGGCCAAAAGTAAGCTTCGGTCGAAATGGTACAAGTACAGAGAGAATTGACTTTTAACGGCTCATGTTCTCTCGGAAGAGTATTTAGGTCGGAGCTTTATTTTCACAGTAAACCGAATCTTCGTCGGGCCGGTAAATCAAATTACTTACCTTGAAACGTCGCTGCCAATGGCTGCGAAAACACTTTCGTTTGAGAACTCTTAGATTTAGAGCCAGCTGTTTTTTATAGTCGATGGAATTTTTAATGAATGATTGAAGTGAATGTAAATAAGTAATAATAAAACATCTATTTTGCGCTAGAAAGAGAGCGTAAAAAAGACATAAGCAATATAAACGATTTCTATCTATATTGTAGACTTCTCAGCATTTAAAACTAAAAGCACACGCAGGCCAAAGACTACAAAATAGAAACATTTACAAGTAATTAAACGACTTCTATCTATAGATTTCTCAAAACTTGAATATAGAAGCACGCCCAAACCAAAAGGTACAAAAAAAGACATTTACAAGTACCACAAACAACTTCAACCTACAAATTTCTCCAAGCTTCAAATTAGAAGCTCCTGCGGAGCCGTTAAGAGTTAAAAATATCTAATTTTTCGGTTGTTAATCATTGCTATTTTCGATCAGAGCGTCGACGATAAAGTCGCAGTCTCCGCGGAAGGCAACCATTTTCAATTCCCTACCGAGGCCGCGGCGCCGTTCGGTGCGAGTCCAGAAAATGGCGGGTGGGAGAAGAAGAATTTCGGGTCCGAACAGGATCAACAAGCGGATGCCGCGAGCGATGGTGAATTTTGTGAGAATTCTGCAAAACTAAAAATATGATAATTGTATATTTATCGAGATGCCTATTCCTCTCGTTCGCAGGTCTGGTCAAGATCAAAGATCCGACGTGTCCGCGGGCGTTTGTGGACGTATCGGGTGCCGGTCGCGGGAAATACATGGCAGTCGGTACCGAAATGTCGAGCCACGAGGATAGCTCGATCGGATCTGAGAGCGAGGAAGACGCGATTGAAACGAGCCCAGGAAACGACGATTCTGAAAGGATCAAGGTGACGAGAAGCGACGATCGCTCGCGACCATCGTCGTCCTTTTCGATCGGTGAAGTCCCAGGAAAACCGGATTCGACGGAGGCAATCGACGGAGGAAAACCGGAAGACCTTGTTCAATTGAATCGAGAGAAGCGACAAGTTGGTAATCCTTATGCTGCTGTTTATTGCGTTAACTTGACAGTGATAGAATGGTGAGTGTCAGTGTGGCCGCCGTCTACATGATGGTTTCATTTGTACGCGGATAATCGATGATACCAGATAATGCTTGAAGTTATTAATTGTCCATAAGATATGAAAAGTGAAGATTCGTTTACATTGATTTTATCGCAATGTTGACGACATTGGCAGGTTTATGTAGTTTTTATTTCATTTCAACTGGAAGTAAGTCGATAATGTGGCACTAGTTTCGTTTAACTATTTTTCTGACATCAAAGTTACATTAGTGATCTTAAAAATAGGTTTAAAATAATAATAAGTTTCTTGAAGTGAGTATATATGGTCCGGCTCATTTTGTGTTGATATAAATTCAGTTACATTGCATAACGTTGTGTGCGCATAACGTTTACTAACATAAAACTTACACAATTTTTATTTGCGTATCGCAGTATGACACGATGTTTAGAGTGTCTGGTAATGTTGAAGGTCAGGTTTAAGTCTGAGTTAAGTCTGTGTTGCAAATACAGAACCGTTTACCGTTTTCTTCCTGTTTCAATTGAACTGGCGGGTTCGCAAGCGATATAAGTTAAAAATTTTGGTGTCGGACTTGCATCATAAATGGTTTTAGAATCTAAAAATCTATTACATCTAATTGTTTCCTTTCATCCTCTTATTTATATTTCAAGTGTTATTGTGACACCGACCTTTAACATTTATCTAATAATCGGCAATCCATAATAATTAAGAAATAAACTTTTCTATATTATTCCCTTTTAACTCAATCTACAAATGAGGCAAGAGAAAAATGGTAAATTATTTTATAATTTACTACGAAAACCTTCGCCACAGCCAGATATTCCAAATAGATATTCAATGTTGCCGAATCATTACCGTACCACATGGTCGCACTACATCCGGCGATCCTTTCCGTCCGATAGGCAAAATAATATTTGCTCTGAAAGCCAAACAGTCCAGAATATATTAGGTATATCAATAAATAATCCTCTATTTTCTTAATGAGATGATAGTGCATCCTGGATAAAAATGAAACGAACTTCATAAAGAAGTGGTTTGGAACATTTTGAAAGAACATTTTCTACGTGGCAAACAATGATATTAAGAGTAAAAATAGTGATGTACCTATTGGTACACCTAATATTACTGGGAAGTGGGAAACCTAAATAATGGCTGCCGAGACTCTCTTCAAAGTTCGATCGCGTAATGAGATATTTATAGTCGGAATCGCCGAAAAGCCGCATACCTTAGAAATTAGGCGAGATCATTCTCAAAAATGTACTTTAAATGTTATTCAAACGCAGAGGTTCTTCGCTTCAAGACGATCCTTGTCCGAGGGCGATTGCAAGCGATACCACCGTGCGAGGCGGCATTGCGGTTGCAGCAAACAGGAGGAATCTATCAACGAGCAAGACCAATTTCAAGCTTTCCCTAGCTTCACGGACAGTCGACTACAAAGTATGGGCCTGACAAATTTCGACGATTCCAATAACATGTGCAGGTGGGTGCAAAAATTGAGACGAAATATCGATTGCTCATAATTTAATGAGCACAATTTTGAGATGAAATGAGGACATTGCAGAAAATACATATATATAATATACATATATTATATGCGGCCAATAAAAGTTCTTTTTCTGGGAAAGAAGAATTAAATTACATATGAATTAATCGATTGTGTTTCGTTCCAGTGAAAACCATGTTTCATCGGAAAGCGAGATCGAGGTAAGACAATAGTAAAATGATAGAGGAGATTCGTAATTCTTTTAATTCATTTCTTTGAATTGTAGCGCAAATACATCGCGTTTTCAATAGGACTCGGTACAGATAGGATTACTTTGCACCGAAGGGTAATGATGTCGCGGAGACAACGAGACCTATCGGAACAAAACTTTGCAAATGAAATTCAGAAGTTACAGGAAGAGATAGAGGTAAATGAATTTTACAATGATAACAATGTTTATTATTGCCTTCAATAAATACCATTCCTCCTAAAGAGACATGATGTAAAACTACCTTGAAGCCTTAGCTCATATTCACGATGAGATTTATAATAAATATGATAATATTAATTTATAATAGGATCTATCGCGTTATTCGTTGTACACGGACGGAGAGTCAATGGAAAGAGTGGAAAGGGTACGCCACAGGCTAGACATAGTAAAGACTTGTGCATACAGGATTTCTTCCGCCGCTGAGACGCTTGGAGCTGTTCTCCAAGAACAGAGAATCTCTCCAGGAATTTGTATAGCAGACAAATATCTTCAAATACTGCGTTCCAGGTGTGAAAATTTGTCCACGGAAATTGCTGAAATCAAGTAAGTGTTTAATCTTCATGAAAAAATGAAGGAAAAAATACTTTATACGTTTAGAGTGTTAGTTAAACCTTCAAGTGAGATGTAACTTTATTAAATATATTATTCTAATATTTTGTTTTTATATTCAATGAGAATCATAATGATAAAAACATAAAAATATTCTTTTCCAGGCGAATCTTATCAATGCACAACATTGTGATCGAAGAAGACTCGGGGGAGATGTACGACACACCTCTTCAACCAACGCGATACAGAAATGGATCGTCTTTAAATAATCGAACAGTGGTACAAAAATGATTTTCGATATTTTTAAAGAAGCTCCGTCTTTTAATGCATTTAAAATGTTACACATAAAGAAAGTGTTAACGGAAACGATAATGAAACAATATGAAGAGTAGTTTATATCTTAACAAAATAGTATAATATTAATTGCGTTTAATAAAAAGAAAAAAACAAAGGAGAATTAAAATTATAAATAACTGAACTCGGTAATTTGCTTCACTGATTAAATTACTCATTGAATTTTTTGCAGATGGCTAGAAGGAGAGCAAGCATTGCAACAATCTCACTAAAGGTAATATGTAAATACCATATAATTAATTAATTAATTAACAATTATATTCCAAAGTTTTACTTACTTTAATCTACTGCAGTACTTGGTACTGTGTCTAAAAAGATATAAAACATTTATTTCCCATTATGTTTACGTTAATTTAGTTATCTTTAGGATTGTTCCAGGCAACGTAATTCTACTTCCGGTAGAGTCACCATAAGAAGGCCATCCTGGTGCTCCGAGATGAGATGGGAAAACGACAAACAAAATCGAAAGGAGTGCGCATTAATTTTTCATATATTTGAAATTACATGTAAAACGCGTATAGATTGTATTTTAAAAAATAAATACTCTATTTTATATGTATTTCAGTAGTTCCAGTAGCGTTGTCGAGCTACGCGACATCACCGAACAGACTGAATCAAGAAGGAATTCCCGTGAAGAGAACAATAATCTCTTGAGGCATGACCAAGCCGACAATATTGATATCACGAATCGTGACGTTACCGATGATGCGAAAGACGAAGATCGGTTATCATCGGCATCAACATGTCTTTTAGAATCTAGAATAGTCGAAAAACAATTAGTATCATGGTATTTATGCGTCCAGTCTTCAATAAAATTCTGAACACAAAGGAATATATTTTAAAAGTATTTTACCTTCTGTTTCAGTATACGAACAGCCAAACCTCTTCGAATAACTGGAAATTTTCAAACATGGCGACCGATACTGTGGTATACATTGTTTTTCCTCCTTGGATTTTATGTAAATTATATCACGTTGTCAGTAGATGCAAGCGTGGCAGATATATCATAATTTATCCTATTGCAGCACTACAGTATTAGAAGCTTGTAATGAGTGTACCAAAGTTTACAAGGGAAAATAATAAAAGACGTAAACATACAAATATATCGCATTTAATCCTTTCTTCAACTTTAATTTAATATATTACAAATTGTCCACCGTTCCGATACACACGAGCGAATTATTCTTATTGTAATAACGTAAGGAAAGAATGCTCGAGCAACATGTTGAGTATATTTGTGGTGATTCCATTTCAGGTACTACGTGTGATGTATTACTGAAAGAAACGTATAAATATTTGAATAAAGTTAAAAAGCGTAAGAACTGTAATTTTTATTTTATAATATTAAGTTACCTATTCACAATTTTAATATGATCATGAGTAGGCCATAAACGAATAGTGCCATCCAGACTTCCGCTAGCAATGTATTGACCATCAAAACTCCAGTCTAAATTCATAACCGTGTCTTCATGGCCTTTAAGTTCAGTTAACAATGCATTAGTTGCTAAATCCCACACGGAGATGGATTTGTCATCACCTGAAAGTACAAATTAATTTGGTCGCGATTATGTCATACGATAAAATTGCATTATATGGAATAAAATATTGATGTTTTACCAGCAGCTGCCAAATATTTTCCATCTGGACTAAAGGCTAAACTATAAATCGTTGACTGTGCTCCTATATATACCCTCAACAAATTTCCATCATCTTTATCCCACAATCTGACAGTCTTATCAGCAGACCCAGTCGCCAGATATCGGGCGTTTGGGTGAAATTTTACACACTGCAAAAAAAATACACTGTTTGTTAACATGTATATATAAGAAGGAATTTTTTATTTTTGTCCGTAATATACATACATTTATATCTAAAAAGTGACCAGCGAATATGCGTAATGGAAATATTCTATCTAATGACCACAATTTGGCAGTTCTATCATGAGAACCAGTCGCAACATATAAATTGAATACACTAAGGTCCATGCACCATATAGGATAACTATGACCACTGAAACAAATGATTTTTAAATGTTTCAAGATCATGATCATTTATTATAACAATGTCATTAAATACCTTCTGTAATATATATTGAGAACATTGGTATAAAATACATGCATATACCTATAAATCGCGGCACATGTATAATCATTAAGTCTCCATGCCCTCATATCTTTATCACTAGATACAGAAAGTAAAATTTCTGATTCTGGAATAAACCTTAGATCATGTACAATATCTGTATGTCCTCTAAGTATCACTGCCCCTCCTTCCGTCCTTAAACCAAAGTATAGAAATTTTCAATCTTGTATACATATAATAACATCATCTATGTTATGTAAATTCATACTTTACTGAATCGAAAAATTACGAAACTTACATTCTGTCATCAGTTTCATAAAATTTATCTACAAATGGATTATCAGAAGCAAACGAAAAGGAGGGTTCTTCATGCTTTGGCTTAATTAATACTGTTTCATTTATACCCCATAATCTAATCTCTGTAGTGCTAAATCCTACTGCTAATTTATCCATATTTGGTGGAATTATACCGCTACTTGCGCTGTAATAATAAACATTTTATTAATTCTTATAATTCTCTAATTAATATCTGAGTTTATTCGAATGCAAACATATATTAAAAGTATATTCGTATGTAATTACTTTTCAACAGCATTATTTACTGCAAATATTCGTAAAGGTTGATGAGCATTATTTCGAATTAATCTTATCGCTTCCTGTAATTCTCGCATTTCACGATCAGCTCCAGTACCCGATGGCTGCTCTACATATCCGTTTATTCCTACTTCACATCTTACCCCTGATTCTTCAGATCTCTCTATATCTGTCTCGGGTACATCCATTTTTGTAATTATTGTCAAATGTGTATTTATTATCTAAACAATAAAATTATAATTATAAGTTGTTATATATATACAGTATGTACAAATAATATTTAATGCAATACTATTTCATTACCTGCATTAGTATAATGTGTCCGTGTTTTGAAAGAAACTGCTGAAGACAAAGATGAGCAACATCAGACATATCCACTTTGTATTTTCTAGTTCTAAATGAATTTACTAAAGGTCTCAATTCAATATCCTGCACTGAGAATACACTCGATAGTTCTTCTAAAAAGTCTCTTTCAGTTTCACTATTAAATTCATTTTGGTGTGATTTTAAAAACTGAATCGCTGCTTGTTTGTTACCAGCATGTAGCATTTCTAGATATAAGTGACAAAACACAGGGTATAAAAGCCCTTTTAATTCCATTTTCAATTTATCGTTGAGTGCAATATTTACCCACATCTTTAATCTAAAAAAAATTATATATGCACTATAATAAAACAAAAAACAAATAATTCAGTTGACTAGTAGTCTGTCTTATAGAACCAAATATTAAATTGATATTAAAAATATTTGAATGAAGCCACAAATGTACCGTTGATACGCTTGATCTGCAGCAGCTACATCAATGCTAATAGCACTGAAAATAATGGAGTTGTCTTGAGATGTAGCAGAAGCAGCAGTTGCATTCAGAGTCATTTCATCACTGGTTCGGCAATGTACTTGATTAGTTTTACAAAACACCTCACTAGTCTGCAATCAACGGTTAAAAATAAGAAGAGGTTATATTGTGTTTACCAATTACACTTTAATATTAAATACATTTCTTGAAATAAAAATAAGAACGTAGCCTGCCTGATAATGACGTCGTTTCAAATATGATTCAATTGTAGCATTAATTAATTCACTCTTTAATCGTTTCATCTTTTTGGAATTACACGTTGGTTACATTCAAAAGTTTTGAAAGACTCAACCATAAGAAATGTGTCGAGTTACAAAAATCATTAAAAGTACGTAGTTTTAATAACTATTTAAGGTATGGATGAAATATAAACATTGCTAAATGTAACAGTCATTTATGTAAAGATCAATTATATGAAGTAAAAGTATCAATTAATTGTAAGAAGTATATTTTCATCAATAAAGTAAACCGAGATCAATGAGGCTTCCACCGGTAATATTTGACATACTGGTCTCATTACTTGTATTTTTACAATTTCCTAACTCTTTACAATACTATTTGTAACATATAAATCCATAAACAAACAGTTGTCGCTCGTCAGTTATTGCGTAAATATAGAGATAAAAATTCACCCTTTCCCTAGAAAAGTAAATACTTGTTACCCCTGAATTACTATTTAAGCACATATCGTGCATTTGGAAGAGAGTTGCCTATATTGTACTACTCTCTGAAATCGTATATCATCAGTTTTCTTATAATTAGTGACTATAAATAACATCTAATGATAAAAATATAAAATAAATAAACAATAGAAAATATAAACATAAAATTTCTAAATTATATCTCATTTGTTTCTTAAAAATTAAATCCAATTAATGTAATTTGTGATGGATTTATTTTAACTAATAATTTAATAATACACTATTCTTTTTATTTGTATTTCTATATTTTTCTAAAAGTAGATTTTTTGAAAAATATTTTATATTCATTGTATTTAAACATTATATTTAAGGAATAGAAATCGATATTGATAAAGAAGTACGTTTAATAAGTCATTTTATCGGACGATTATCTAAAAAGTATCAGTCACAATCTATGTTAAGTAACAAGTAAATTCGCATATAGGTTAAGTAAAACTAAAATAATAAAATCTATTACAATTTATAACTAGGAGTAAGTACACTTTAAATTATATTTGTAACTTTAACATGATTATTTATCATTTTTAACCATTTTTAATTTCTCTATATTCGTTATGTTTTTATTAGTAAATTTATATAAAATGTTAAAACAATGGGTCGTTTATATTTCAACAGTTTTAATTAGGAATGGGATAATTAGCGCAAAAAGTAAATGGAACCATATTGTAAAAAATAAAAATATTTATTTATAAAAATTAAATTATGTATAATACAAATGATATTTTAAAAGTTAGATTCTTCATTTCATGAATGTGATGACATCTCCATTTCATTCTAATAATGATCTAAAAAATATATCAAATAGTTATTATTCCTTTGTTTATATTAAAAATGTATAGTATTTTACAATAAAATAATTAAAATAATTAAAAATATACATACAAATCTGAGTAGAGTAAGTTTAAATCATGAGGTATGGTGTAACGTCTATGTAAACATAAGTTAAGAAATGGATCATTTTCAGTTCCAAAAATTTCAAATCCTTTTACTCTATAACATGAAACAAAAAATGTTTAAAACTTGTATTTTATGACATTGTTGATTAATTGTTGCTATAATATGTTAACATTATACCTTACGATAAAGTGTTTATTTTGTGGTGATATTGAGTGGTCAATATTACGTTTTGCTAAATCAAATATTGTAGGAAATACTATGTCACGAAAATCGCAGATTTTCACAAAATTATCTTCGTTACAATTTTTAACAATAAAATCATCTCTAAATCTTTGAGTAATTAATAACCTGGCTGTCGGTGTATCTACCCAAATAATGTGAAAACCTTTATTAAGGATTTCAGTAAACCACTCAGAACCACCAATCATAGCAACATTATTACATTCCATTGCATCATACCAATCATGAACCTACAAAATATGAAATGATGTTAAAGAACTGAAAATATAATTTTCTTAAAATTATAAGGAATTTACAACTTACAGAACACTGACAGACTTTTCTAAGATTTTCTCTAAATTCTGCCATTAGAGCCATAAAAGATTCAGAATCTTTAGAATATAATAATACAACATCTGTCCTTATAGGAGGAAGACTTTTATATACTTTTTCTTGCTTTTTTTTTCTACAGAATTTTTTTCTACATATGCATATGTTTGTAATATATATGAAATATATAATCACAAACATTGCGATTATACTTAATAAAGTACCAATTAGTATCCAGTATAAGAAGATACTTATATTAATTTTGTTTGTAGTAGTTGGACCACCATTCTGGTTGAACACTAAGTTGCAATCTGCAAATTATAAAAGAGATCCTTATATAAATAACTCAGACCTATAAATAATTAAAAAATTCAAATCAAACTATAAGGAAATTAATAACCAAATGCAACCATAATAATGCATGTTTATTTACTTTTATATACTGCACATGCATTCTCAGGAGGTCTCCACAAACTATTAATTTTGCATCTCCTATCAATAAAATATGTAAGAATACAATAATCTACTTTCCCTACAGGTGTAATATTGTACTGTAGGTTTCGTACATACTCCTTTCTGCTTAACTAAAGTTAATAAATAAATTAATAATTAGTAACTGGTGAAAGAATAAATAATAAATGTAAGAAACAAAACTTACCATAACTGTATTAGACTTATTGTTTTTATAATCTTCCTGAAAATGAGATACTAGTTATAAACAAATAATAAATTTTATAATGCTGAAACATTACCAAAACTTTGAAACTCCAAGTACTATTTTCCGACACAAGATTGTTTCCATCACAGACTTCTTGTCCATTTAAATTGTCCAATAAACTCAAGTTTAATATTACTTTTGATACTAGTGATACTGTAAGTATTATGTTAAAATGCAGTATATCCCTATAAAATGTAAATACAATTACACTTTTATTTTTCAGGCCATACAAAATGAATGTTAAGTAGTTAGAATTTCTTTATAATATACGCTGTAATGATTTCTTTCTTAATATCAATTATTATAATTTTTATGTATAGGTTTTTAAATATTACATAAATAACATAAACTCACCCCTTTGTACTATCATGTAATGACTCATATGTACATTTAAATTGTGGGTGTGTAACTTCTGTACGTTTATAATTCGTTTTCAAGAATTTTTTAATATTTACATATTTGTCTTGACCATAATTAAATTGCACATTATAACACGCTTTAAAGATATATGGAAAAGACATATTGTCTATTCTTTCCTATAATAAATATGAAATATATAACTTGCTTATGTAGTTTATTAATAACAGTATAAGGTTCCTTATAAATTTAGGAATAAGAATAATTACCAAATAGTGAGTACTATTTGGGAAGAAACACATAATACGTTTAGAACTATGTACTTCCATATCATATAAATTTTCGAAGTTATAAGTTGCACAATCCTTTTCATTAATGAACTCATTTGCCAATAGAATTAAACTATACATACATTTTCTTCTTGGTAATGTAAAACTTATATTTAAAATAGCTGGAAATAATTATTTAATCTACATTATTATGTATAAAACTAAAACAAGGACAAGTTTCAACATATTTTATTAATGTTTTTTAATTGTTTATAACAAGTGTAATAATTTTTGTATAAAATATAATGTAAGTACATCTTTATTAGTATTTACCAGGATATATTGAAGTTTCATCTCCATCTTCTACTGTAAAATTAACAGTATTTGGAATATCTTCTTTTTTACAGAAGTCTACATTTGAGTACTCATTTGTTGTTAAGGTTATATTTGAATTATTAGTTATTGTTTTACAGTCACTGGTATCACAAATGATCTGCACGTAGTTATATTTATTATTCTAAAGTATGTTAGATTTAAACTATGGGGTACAAACTCAACTGGCGTGCAATTTTAACAAATTTATTTTTTTAACAGCTGTACTTACGTCGCAATCATTCTGTCCTGTCACAGATAAATATTTACAAATAAAGAAAAACGCAATAATGTTGTAACCTTTAAACATAATTATATGCAACAGAAATCACATAAAATTATGAAAAGAACTTTGAAGTGTTTGTACCAAATACAAATTCTTCAAGAAAACATGTTTATTTTTAATTTAACTTGTAAACATCATAAAAATAAGTGAGGGTATAAATAAGGAAAATATGACTTCGCAGTGCAAAGTTCGAACGGATCGGCAATCTCAAATGCATAACAAAATAAATGGACTTAAATTTATAAGAGAATAATTATAGTGACTATACCTAATACTATCTATGGTGTTAGTAATCTTGTGGTGTAAGCAATCTTATTCTTGTAACTTTTCCTGTATGATAGGGAATTTTTTGACATTAGAAAGGACTATATACATTGCAACACTCGTACTGCAACGATAAAAATAAGCTTAGACGGAAGTATTTGTATATACATATATATGTGTACACATAATATACATGTTATGTTATCAAGAATACGTAGAGCGCCCTTTTCAACAGTAGTTGCAATGGAAATATATTTTGTTCCTCGTATAAATGAAATTAATATATACAATTTATTTGAACACATTTCGTGTCACCGGAAATTTCGATTATATTTTGCTTATAAAGTTCACTGATTTTTTAAATGATAGATTAAGTTACCTTCAAGCTTTTGCTGACTTTTAATATATTTTGATATTATTTCTTTACATTTTTGTTGTTTCGCGACGTATTCCATTGTTCTTTGACACATGTCTCACAAAAAAATGTTTCCTTACAAAAATTGCGCGCGTACCACAAATGGTACACGTAGCATGGAACATGTTAAATGGAAAAAAATCATTTTAAAAAATATATACAAGTCATAAATACCAATAGTGCAACTCTGAATGCATTGACTTAAAAGGTTTCTTGAGTTCATAAGGAAATAAACCAAAAAACCAAACTTAAAAACTACATAAAAATATTACTATTCTTACGTTTTACATGACAATTCAATTTTTTTTAAACAATTACAAATACACACATTTTGCTAATCTTTAGATAAATTAATTTTAATATAATATAAAAAGTTGATACAGTAAACAAATTTGCAAATATTTATTAATGCATGAATCTATAATAACACAAACCTTTTAATATTCACGACCAATGAAATTATTAGTAATAAATATTGCATGAAGCATTATCGAAGATAATTATAAAATTGTTTTTATTATAATAAATACTACATTATCGTGAACAATTACAGCTTAAAAACTGTTTAAAAAATTCATTTTAATTGTATTATTCACGGTTGCTTATGTAGAGAGTATTGCCATAGACATATAAAACTTATAGAACATACATGATGTTTAAACAAATAATTAAGAAAAAGAATTATTATGTATCTTTCACAGCCTATCTAGCATTCTTATTGGAAGCTTGCTTTTGACCGGTTTTAAAAAACAAAATACTGCAGTGGTTCAATACCTGCGCATTTTTCAATACATCGTTGTATCCGTAGATTACTGAGTGTACATACAATTATGTTATGCATTCACATATGAACAATACATGGGACATCCTATTGGTAAAACATATGTGATAATAATTACGGAAAGTGAAAAAATACAATACTAAAAATTCATACTAAACACTTGTTTGCGTTGATTAAATTAAGGACATACGATTTTCTTTTAAGTCTGAAAAACATAACAACGCGAGCAAGCCTTACATCAAGATTTAAGTAATGATTCTTCTTTCAAGGAAATAGATCGAATTCAATATACAGCTTACATATAAAATTAACGCACCTCTAATTTTAGCTAGCAGTATAAACCATTTCCTTGATTTTCGATCACATACTTTTGCAAATAACGAGATGCTTTTTCGCTCAAGCCAAGCTTTGGCAATTCTTTTTCAAATTGTTCGATTGTTCCGGCGCCAGCTAAGTAACCATTCAATTTTGCAGCCAAAGGAGAAGTTTTAAGAGTTTCATCGCTAGTGAGACCGGTAGTTTCGATTAACCATGGATGATTTCTAAGTCGATACTTTTGATGATAGCTAAAAAATATTAATATAACATTAAGTAATTAATATACTTTCTAAGGTAAAAATTAACGTAAAAGATCTCTTGTCTACATCACGTTTAAATACAAACTAAGATATTCTGTTATTTTGCTACAGATTAATATACTATTTTTGTATTGAAAAAATAACTTATTTTGAATCAACAGTATTATTGATATCATTATTGTACACGAATGAGTAATTCCGGCTTTTTGATAATGCACGAACTTACTCTTCGGCGGAGTAGAATTTTTCAAATTTTCTAACTTCGGTAAGAATTAGGTCCGTTCGTTTCCGTTGTTCTTGTTCTCGCGACTTCTCGGCCAGCAATTTCTGTTCATCGTCGTGATACAAAATCAGCGACATGTACTAAAATTTGAAATATAAGTAATTATTAATAAGAAAAACAAATATCGTAATAGAAATGTACTCTAAATGATTATGAGCATTAGTTTACAAAGTAATCTACCCACCTGCCTCTTGATTTTTTTAGTAAGTCCGTATTCGTGGTTCTCCCAGAAGAGTGAGAGTAACTGCGAATACGATATTACATCGGGATTATACTCGATATCAACGACTTCTGTGTGGTCACCTCTGTAATAAAAGTAATAACCGACAATTATTCGACAGATCATTAAAAATTGAAAAAAAAAAATAAAATTAAAGTGAAAACATACAAATTTCTATAGGTTGGAAATTCTTTTTGCCCACCAGCATAGCCTACACAGGTTCTAATCACACCTGGTAGAACTCCAAAGAGGCAATCACCTGCCCAGAAGCAGCCCATTCCGAAAGTTGCACGTTTCGTTTGAATCTCTTCTAATTGGCCAGGCATTTTATTCGACTAATTAAACATTCGGAATATTAGAATTTAAAAATCATTAGAGAATTAGGACTGAAATCGAATAAAGCATTAATAGTCTTAACGTATTCCTACGTCATTGGGATATTAGTTTGATCCGATAAATCGCGCGTGAAACCTCTTAAATAACTGTTACGTTGGGAGCGACGAAACAAAATTTCTATAAATTTTTACGTTTGTAAAAAGTACACACAATTTTTAAAATAATCAGTTGAAAAGATTATTAATCTTTGACATTATACTTTTTATTTAACCATTAACATTTTCATTATATTTCTTTTTTCGTTATCGCACAAAAATGATGTATGTTTCAAGAATGCTTGAAATGATCAATGTATCTATAAAAAGAAAGTGGAATGTCCTATTTTGAAAGCTTTCTGATCTGAACGATATCTTATCCTATTATATATTTACGGTTTTCAAAATGAGCAACGTTTACCTCTTTCACGTTCAAAATAAGGATAACGCACGGAATGATTGCGAGCATTTTGGCATGGACGGAATCTAACATGATTATAATGGTATTTTCTTCGGAGTTTATTAATTTTTCAAAAGAGTTACTGTAATGATTACTGTCTCCGTATTTTTACATTCAGAAATTCCTGTTCATTTAGGACACCAGGTGTGTATAAGGTACAGGTCCGATCCGCCTACAAAAAAAAGCAAGACGAACATACAGGGTGAACCGTATAACTTGATCACCTTGATCGTTTTCTTTTTGAATAAGCTCTTCGAAAATTCGGCCCTCGTACAATTTTGTTTTGGAAAATTTCACAAGCACGTGTTGCTTTTATTATAATTCTCGTATCTTTCTTTATCACTGGAATTGCCTTCGATATCTGATACGAAATAATAATAATTTATTAAACGTCGAACGTATTAGAAAACTTTCGTTTTAAAACTTACTTTATAAATATTTGATTTTCTACTTTATGGACGTTACATAATATATATATATATAGAGAGAGAGATACTTATCATTGAATTTAAAGCAACAATAGAGAAGAATTGAGATGTATTTATTGAGAGATACTGTCAATCTTACGAAGCGTTTAAGATGCTGTTCGTCGACTTGAACAACGAACGTTCACCCAGTTCTTTCAATTGCATTAACACTTCAACACATAACAAAGCATATAACTGCCACACAAGCTATAATAAAGAATGTTTGGTTCTACGAACAACTACGAATAATTTTGCTGACACGTGACAAAAATATTTTTTAGTTACTGGATTGATTAGAGTAGTGGTCATGTAGATGACAAAATCCTTCATTAAAATATTTAAAAGTATTTGAAAAACTACCCACAAACACAACAGTCAAACAAATATATTTTCATTCGCGTTAACATGATTTGTATTTTCACCAAAAAAATTATACCATTAAACATAAATTTATAAGTTTAAAATAACTTACATAAATAGAATATCATTAATTACGGGAACAATCATAATAATCCTATCATGCGGTTCACTCTATAGAAAAAAACGACGCGATGCCGCACACATTAAGCGCCTACTTTTCGCACGTGTATTCAATCTCGATAGAAATTTATAAAAAAACATTTAGTCAACATTTTTAAAAGAAAATGCGTTTTTTCATCTCGAATAGAATAACGCGATTTCAAGGGAAACTCAACACATCCCTAGTTCAGTTATTTTTTTATGTTCGAAGCAAGTGAATAAGTGATCGAAATGTAATGAATGAGTATGAAAGTGAACATTATACTGTAATAAATTTGATTTCGTAGACAACATGGATTTTCTGAAGGATCAAGTGACAGAATTTTAATGGTACTTGTAAAATAGGTTTACCTTAATTTACAATGTAAGGCAAGCGGTTTGAAAAAAAAACGTTGAAGAAAGAACCGAGAAAATAAACTGAAACAAAGTTCACTTAAAGTATAACAAAAATCGTCTCGTTCGAGAATGAAGAACACAAGAAACTACCGCGTGTTCCAGGCAGCTCAACATTTTATCTACTGTGTCCCTCCTCCATTTGTCCCTACTCTGCAGCACCAACCACCACTACTCAATCCTCAATACATCATTTTCATTCTTTTATTCCTGACACGTCCGAAACTTTGATTCAATTTACCGACCCTATTGGTTTAGTATTTCTATTTACACCTCGCACCATATCCAATCATGGCTCATGGACCGATAGCGGGACACGTGCTTGCAACACGGCGAACTATTCACTGTAACGGTAAACGTTACGCTCGTCTTTACGTCTGTGTCAGTATTCTCTTCTCTTTTTTCTTCCCGTGACTGATACGGGCCTCTATAAAATTTTGGCCAGTCTCAAAGTCATTAATTTACCTTTTCAATGAAGTTGCTGTAAACGCGGCGAAGATATTATGTACATAGAAAAAATCATTAAAAAATACTTATTCAATACACTTATAAAATCGGAATTTCAATCGAGGATTTATTGATAATTTGTAGTGTCGTTATTTAATCATTACCTACAAACAGAACGAGAAATGAAATATTATTCTTTATTATAAAAAAGAATACATCAAACTTGTACTAAAAATTGTAAAATATATTATTTAAAATAATTCAATGTTTTATAACTTACTGAAATCTGCATGGCATTAATTGAACTAACTTTGCTAGGAAATTTGGCTGAGTGTTGTCCCATGTCGTCTGTGTTGGATCCAATTGATTTTCATAGTTTCAAGGGTATAGTAAATATTCTTGTGTAACACTCGTCGCGTGTTTTGGATCGATGCTGCGTAAAATATGCAGAGAAACTTAACATTCTTCATTTTCGTAAAGTATTTCTTCAATGTATTTTTAAAATATTTAAATAAAATTATTTGTCCATAGTCCAAATCACTGTATATAATTATCCAAGTTTAATCATTGGAGTTCAATTTTGTATTTATCGTTAGCATACTCTGTTTGGTCTCTGTCGAAGTATTAACTTTATCATCTAATTTTCTTTATTTAATGAATGCATTTAACTTATTTTATTCAACAACAATTATGTCATAATTTAACATACTGAACAGATGCGAAACAATGGAAAAGAGACAAGTAACTAACAAGATATTTTTTAAAATAATGATAACTTTTAAATCCGAAATCGACTTGACTTATGTTGTAAATGTCAACTTCTCTTTTGCGCTAAAAAGTATTTAATTGATGATTCTACCTGTATAAGGATCAAACGTTGAGCTACAAATTGACAAGTAATTTTCAATTAAAATTTTTGCCCTGTAAATACATCATATCGGTATTTCCTCAAAATTTATCCTACACAATTTTGATTGTGAGCAATTGCGTATGCACGCACACAACCTGGAAATCAATGGGCTCAAGCCGATATTAACCTCTCATATGATTATGTCATTGATTGATGTCGAAGCTTATTACATATAAACTGCTTTGATTGTCAATTTAGACAGAGTTCCCATAAATGCTTCTTGTATGTTGCATCAGAAAATTGAAGCCAGATGTATCCGTTGAGATAGATAACAATTGCTGGACCGACTGATGTAATTTCTTCGCTTTTCAAGCTAAGCTCACTGGTTGATCACTCGCAATTCGAAAAAGGCGGCTCTATCGCGACACCCATCGTAGACAGAGGTTACTATTGATATCTTCTATTTCCTGTCATCTTGATGCTTTCATATGTATTAATAAGATTACGTTCCGTTCACATAATCTGCTAGCACGCGAGCACCGATAGTCACACAACGAAACCGGACCGACGGATTTCGCAACACGACGAATTTAACACAAATTGTTTAATACTTAGAAAAGTGGACAATAATGGTAACGTACCGTACAGTTATATCTGATCCCGATTACGCTTCTACGTAGCAAGAGGTCAAAATTTGGTCGAATCATCTTCGATACGAACATTTTTGCAATTACAAGCATTCTGAAAAAAAGAACTGCTCATTCATTGATATCCCGAGGTGATACTGGCAAATGCGTAAATACATGTTATATGTCTCATGTAATGTTTTAGACGTCGTCATAGAAAATTTCGATACGAACAATATGAAACTTTTTCCGATGGTGTCAATGCAAATGATACTTAATCTGTAGAAATCCGATAAGATTTATTTATTTACTGTTTTTCTCGTACATGTTGTTTAATCAAAACTTCCTTCGAAAATACGACCTACCTTTAACTGCTGTGATCACGTGATTATAACAGAGCGACCAATAACAGAGTGCAGGGAAATTTTCAAATATTCGCGTGGTTTAAATTATTTAAGATAACGAACTGTTTTGTGACTAAATATTATTTTATTGGTTGTACGCTGAAATAATTCAAGGAAGATTCAATAAATCTTTGGTATCATGTCAAAATACGATATGCAATGAGGGATATAAAATTAAATTTTACAAGTTAAATTATCACATAATTTACGATATATTTTAAGGGAAAAAAAGTAGGGCATATGGTATCGTAGAGTAACTGCACACAAAAAATTTACAATTATAGTATCCTTAGGAATATAGATATCTAAATTAATATAAAAAATATTATTTATAACATTTTATAAAAAACGCGAAAAATACTTCTTACAGTATCATACATATTAGTCGCCATGACACATCTTGTGTAATATACAAATTCTCGGTTATTGTACGAAATATACATTGTTTTACGCGGGAATAAATAAAAATTCTGTACAAATTCAAAATGAAACTTTGAATTCCATTAAAATTAATTCTCGTATCGCAGTTGTTACTTAAATACTCGTTTAAGTACAAAAACACGATGTAAATCTCGGATCTGCGAGCACATCGTTTAATTGGAATCTACGCGGTGGTATTCTCTTTTATATCTTACGAGGAGCTCACAGAAATAATCGGCAGGTAAGAAAATACTTCAGTGATTATCTTGAGTACATTTAAAATTGAAATATGCTCCCTAGCATCATATTCAAATAGAAACATCATTGTTCATTCTGTACAATTATATTGATCATAGTTGTTTTCCCTTTTGTTTGTTCTTAGGAAAAGAATATATCGAGCTTGAGTTTACAATAACGATGGTTGTAGTATAAGAACACAACAGTGGAAGAAATTAAATGCAGTGACGAAATACGGAAGGCCCAGGAAATAAATTACATCACAGCGCAACAGTTTTTTTCAGAGTGATTGTCACCGACAATATCACTTGTGTTTCCGGTGAACCGTTGAAAGTCGCCGCCAGTGTTGAGTTCAGAATTGGCGATGGGCGATACAGGAATACCATTCCCGTTGGCGTCTATCGAACCAGTGGATATGTGTCGATTCTGCGCCCTTTGTTTTTTCAAATCGGATAACGATTTGACAAAAACTACCGAGACGTGAATGTTGATCTTGCCATTGGTGTCGCGGTCCGGTGCGTAGATCGACTGCTGATTACCGACCGGTAAGTCGGACCCTGTCACTACCAGGCAAACATGTAAATCCAACGCTACTTCCTTTCCTTCGTGATTCGCGCTTAATTTCTTTCCCTTTTCACTTGTCATCTTTCACCTTGTGTAACCCTCCACCTAATCCCCCTTCTTATACACTGAAACGGTACTTTAAACAAAAACTCGACTAGTATTAACTAGCGGCCATGCGCCAAGCGTCACATGCTTTAGCGATAAAAGCGTTGATAACATTGCAGAACAAAATATCATGATTTTATTACTCTATTCTACATGTACCTACATGGACACCACCATCACCTTCTGTGTTCCATTAAGGATTCGTTACACTTACTATCAATTTTCCAAATCTTTCACTTCCGGAAGAAAGGATAATAAATTTCAACAATCTGTTCTCCCTTTATTCCGAAAAATTAAAAATGTAACTTTTGCGATTCACTCTGTCAGATTCTAAACTAAATCTTCTAGGTTATCAATTTAAGTTCAATTTATTCGAAATCGAAGATTTAATTTAGAAAGCGGTATTGGTATGCAGCGAACTCCTTGCATGTAGGAAAATATACATATAAAGCATACACAACAGTTGAATTCTCTGGAACATTGAGATCACTTACTTCATATTTCCTTGAAATGTAATGTAATATCATTCTGAGCTGTGTCGATGTCCAAATAATATATTTTTCATTATAATAAATTAATACCATCTCAAATCAACCACATGTGTTACTAATTTTAACTTACATAAAATTTATTAAAACAATAACAGCAAGAATTATAAATAGTACAATATAGTATACTAAACCACATTTAAAAATAGCAAATTAATCACAGATTCAATGTCAGTACTTTAACAATTATATCCTTTATCAAATTTTCTAATAATAAATGAACTAAACTTGCTTATCTAAAGTTTACAAATTTACTTCTCTATAGCATACAAAAATTTAAGTCAGCTGTAATCACATTAACTTGTAAAATTAGGTACAAATCACTACAAAATATATTGTTTTCTATTTTTCAATTAAGAAAAATATAATTGACAATTACATAGAAAATGTTGAACCAGTTTGATCGATTTGATGTGGAATTTATATTAGGAATTCAATGATTGTATGATATTAATAAGTAAAATAATTTAATGCGGTGACACAACTGACCTCGTAACGATTTTATCGTTTAAAGACCAAACTAAAAGACAAGAAGACACATTGCGCGCGTAAGTAACTAACAATGAATGAATGCAGTTTTGTTATTAACGCAAACAATACGTTAGGTCTTTGAACAAGTTCTATCCCTTTTTATTCTGCAATTTTCACCTTTATATTAAATGTAGAAACTTTAAATTAATGTAACAATTATTATTATATGCATTAAAAAATAGAATAAAATAATGTTTTAAGAAGAAAAAAACATTTCCCTTTATAAAATTTTGTATTATATCTGTCTTAACCGTTTGTTAAAGAAAAGTATCCATTACAGATAGAATGAAATAATGAAAAAAGGAATATATTTGTTAATGAAAATGTTACATTTCCAACTTATAATTAATACTACTTACTTCAAAATTATTTATACTTTAAAAATATATATTGCAGTATAAAATAATTTTAAATAAATTCACTATTTAAATAAATGATAGAACTTCTCTATAGACCTAACACGAATATTGAAATTGTACGATATGTTTCATATGCGAAATACTTTTTTATTTCATTAACATTCTTTATTATGATATGTAATAAGTATATGTGAAGTGCTCATTGAATACTAGTTATGAATGTACTGCAGTGTAATTCGAATTCTATTTAATTTTTTCACTGCAGAATGAAAAATTGAAAATTCCATTGTCATACAATGCTATGTCTCTAATTATTTATTTACCTCAAAAATTTAATGCAGAAGATATCTGAACTGTATGCAAGAGTTATCCGAATTCTACTCATATACTTGGAATCCGATACTTGTGTGATGTAAATGTGCGTTAAAGTTTCGTTTATTCTGACATGTATCAATTATAAAAACCACGTTTACAAAAATTCCGTTTTGATCTAAATTATCGCAATGTTTTTTTTGCGTGTAACAGCGAATAAGCTCTGCTAAACGCTAATCAATAGTTGTAAAAAATAATGCTAAGAGGAAAATACGACGTAACTCTTGCTATAAACAATTCGATGTCGTAATATTGAAGTTTCCATACCAAGAAAGTATTTTCATAGAAGAAAACACATTATGTATGCATACAACATACAGAGATGGTTCAATATGTTATGAATCAAAATCTCGGAACATACGATAATGTGTGAAATTCGAAAGTAATGTAAACGCTGCATTCAGAAGTACGTTCAAAGGAATAGAAATGTGACATAGAAAACTGACCTCGGAATTATTCAGGAGCACGACGCAGTAATAACAAAAAGAAGAAAGTGCTAATAAATGACCAATGATTAACATTTTGTTTGACAATTTATCGGTAAACAACTACTGCGCTACTTCATCTATGCTACTATAGTAATGCAGAATCATCCTGAGTAATTAAATTTCAGAATTTGTAAAGAATGTTTTTTCTGATATTTGAATCGATAAAAAAATATTTTATTTTAAGGTGACACGCGCACATTACATTAGATTAAATTACAGTCGTTATGCCACGTTATCAAGGTCCAGTTATGCGTTATGAACGCACGATGTTAATGGACACGACACATTAGGTTTTCTATGATAGATTTTATGCAAAAAGCTACCATTTACCAGAGGATTCTACTTAACCATAACCGATGCGAGTGTAACATATTTTGGAATATACCTGATTCTTTATCGACGTCTTCATGAAGAAAAGATTCATTATCCTTTCCCTCAGGAGCTTTTCGTACTGCTAACGGTGGTGCATTAGAATCTATGTCACTACTTGAATTTTCTCGTGCACTAATGTCATTTTCCGTTTGAGGCACATTCGCAGTTGCACTGGCAACATATGTCTAAAGTATCAGGTTCATTTAATCATTTTATACTAATCTTATATTAATTGCCTTTAACGCAAGCTGAGGAACAATAATAAGCATTAAAAATTCTTTACCTGTTGTGCTTGTAATCTGAGGCGTGCTTCTTCCTGAGCATCTTTTTTAGTGGTCAAAACCTTGTCTCTGATTGAAGTTCGTCTTACACTTTGCGTACGTGTATTTATACTTTGAGATCTACGCACTCGTCTTCCTTGTGCTTCACGCAATCGTTTACTTTCTTGCTCCGTTTTAAGTTCTACTATCCTCTCCCTTATCTCTGGATCTTCACAAATATCTACAAAATTATTTTTAATAATTTAATAACATTGATCATACTGATTATTTTTTTAAAGTATTTTCATTATTAAAATGTTACCTGCTGGAGTTTCGTCGTGTTTATTCTTTGCATTTAAGTCTGCCCCATTTTGCACTAATAACTCAAGAACTTCTAGCTGCGACGAAACAATAATTTAAAAATAATTATTGAAGTATATAAAATTATAACATAATTATGTTAAATATTTTTTGCTCTTACATGTCCCCAGCATGCAGCTGCATGCACTGGTTGCCATCTGTCATTATCTTCAACATCTGTTGCAACATGTTGATCCAAGAGAAACTCTACTACCCTTAAGTAACCGTTAGCAGCTGCAATATGAAGCTACAATTCGAAAAAGATAGACATCATATTATTTTTGTATTTAATAGCATAATGCTCACTTAATGTTTATATGATTATTAATAAATTTGGATACTCACTGGTGTAGCACCTTGATGATCTTTGTACTCAAGATCACCACCTATGGAAGCTATATGCTGCAAGTCCCTCAACATTTGAACTTCTATTGAAGCTCTGGTTTCATCTATCAATTCTTGAGTTACTCCCCATCTCGCCATTTCCCCTAAATTACAGATAAATATATTGTGAGAAACTTTTCTTTTTCATATTTTTATACTTAATGTTTTAAATAAAATATTCAAGTATATTTTTTTCTATTTTTACCTTCAATACAATCCAATGTTTTCTCATCTTCACAAATATCATAAGGCATGTTACCATCTGCATTAACAGCTAATAAATTAGCACCTCTAGCAATAAGGTATTTAACTAAATGTAGGTGACCACAAGTAGCAGCAGCATGCAGAGGAGTCCACTTTTCACTGTCTTCTGCATTAACGTTTGCTCCAAACTCGATTAGTAATTTCATCATTTCTTCATTATCATCTATACAGCACTGATGTAAAGCCGTAAGTCCATCTTCATTTGTTGAATCTGGATTTACCCCTTTTTTTAAAAGTCTACGTACTGAAATTATATAATATTAGTCAACATAAAATCCACAGAATATCAATATAGTTAGTACAATTTTTTAAATATATGTTAACACCTTCGTCAATATCATTTCTTGCTGCAGCTTCTAAGAGCATAACACTATCATTAAAGTATATGTGACGTTTGTTGCTTGGATGCCTAGTCTGATGCCGCAGCCATTCTTTTTCGCGTTGACACCATACTTTCAATTGTTGAAATCTTCTTTGACGAGCCAAATGCAATCGTTCTTGTGTTGTTAACCTTTCTACGTGCACCATTTCTGCTACCAAGTCGGAATGTTCCATGGCTGTATGCTTATAAGTTTTGCTACTATATTTACCTATATGAAAAATAAATTACATTTCATTTTACTGATAAAATATAATATCTTATTATGCTAATATATTTCATATAGTGGAGAAATAACAATAACAGGAATACTATGGAATTTAAGGGAATTGGATGCTAAAGAATTTACCTTTACACTCACAAAGCCATGAATGTATTCCAAGGTATTTTAAAAATTTGCGATAAACATTAGACATCGTTGTGACATAATATCAAGATTTGCTCTTTCAGATTGAAAAACCTGTATGAAATTGGCAATTTTTTCATTGTGTAATTGGTATAAGTGATATCATACCTTCATCTAAAACTCTGTCATATTTGTCAAGTAAATAAGTATGTAAATGTACAATATTTACATAAATGTTCTGAAATTCTGATTTGAAGTCATCATGTACAGGGAAACAATAACTTAACAAAATATATTTGATAACACAATTTTTTATAAAAATTACAAAGAAAATTCATAACTACATGGCAATTCTGAAAGAGCTACTTAAACAAATAGTTCTTTTAAATAAAAATATGATACCTCCTAGGAAAAACATATACATATGTGTGTTATATATAACACAATTATAAATTAATCAAAAAATATATAGTTGTTTTTTACAAGAAAATAATTTTATATTATATACATGATAAAAGTAAGATACATTACATAATTAGTACACAACTGATAACAAGAGAAGGAATACAGTAATCAATATGAAGTGCAATTGACTTATTAGGAAATAAAAAAATGCATAATTCAATTCTTAACTTATCTTACGCATAACATGACATAACTTTCTCATTACGATCCACGAAAACGAAAAAACTGACTTGATAAAGAAAACATATGTAAACGAAATACATTGAACGACATTGTTTTGCGCTCATAAAGCAAACATTGACATGGTTCTCACGTGAAGAAGGAAAATAATACAGATAAAAAATGAAAGGGGGTGGGGGGAAAGAAATCAAAGTAAAGAAGTGAATTAGAAACAGAAGTATGGACGTGTTTGCTACTCCACGATTGTAACACGGGGGTTAACGCAGGTGAAAGAAGTCTGTTCTAGGACTGGCGGGTGTCAAATCACAATATCTACTCACATTGGCAGGCGATTGTTCGTTCGTTCACTTATTCGTTCGCGATCCAGTGGAATGCGGTAGTTTGCGCGTTCGTTCATTCGTTTAATTTTTTTTATTTCTTTTGTTTTTCGCTAGCTCGGAAAACCGCCGAGAAAAATGCTGAAAATTTAGTCGTGTTGAGTTGAGTCGAGCGGAGCTGAAGCTCCCGAGTACGACGTAGCAGAGAGAAAGTCACCGTATTGATCGACAAAATCGTAACATAATTCCCGTGGTTTCTCCGATGTGATGTTCTCGCTGAAGAAAATTCGATCAAAGAGGTTGAACGAACACCTCCCGGCTTTAGATTTACGTAAATCACATCGCTTCTGACTTTATCGCGGCGCCGTGCACGCGAGAAAACGCGTACCTGTCAGTCGCCATTTTTAAACTACCTGGAGAAAATCATTCGCGCATTGCCCTTCACCGCGCGCTAACTTCGATTTTTTCAAATTACTCGACTTGTCTCCATGCACCCGCGCGCGCCACGCACAAATTTTATCTCGTACTGAACACCAATTCGGTTATTTACTGTTCATACCGAACGTACGGTTTGCGTGAAATCAAAAACTCAACGTGTTCCCGGAACATCAGATATCATTACTGTCTTTACATTACTGTTATCTTCCTTCTGTATATAGACTCACATTAATTTGTTTCAGCAGATCTTTAAATCCAACTTATCGCATTTTACTATCGTCTTACCTATACACTCGCATTCCTCCGATTATGTATATTCTGATTAAATGCAAGTTTATCATACATCTCAGATTAAAG